TTTTGGAACATCTGCCACGTCCTGCAGAGCCCAGAGAGTTGGTTTCCCAGCCAGACTCTGATGGGATTAGGAATAAATCTCTGCCAGATCATTCTCCATTAGGTCGGGTGATTGGTTTTCATCCTTCCTACCCCCAGCTCCTCCTCTCCCTGTTTCAGCTGGATTATTCTCACGCTTGGTTTGCCAATTGCCTGCTCAGTGGAGCCTCCTCAGAGCTCAGTGTGGGGACATCACTGGCCTCCTCTGACCCTCTGAGTTCCCTGCCTCTTCCTTTGTGCCTCAGCTCTGCTTTCATCTCCTCCACTCCCCAACACACACTGAGCTGTTTCTGCTGCCCAGATCAGAGTGGGAATCCTACTGGTGTCACCCCTGGAGCCAGGGAAGGTCCTGGGGATGCTTCTTCAGCTTGTCTCCATCACCTCCATCTCCCCCAGTCTTTTCTGGGGCTTTTCCAAGCCCAGTGTGGTCACAAACCTGCTGGTTTTCCAGACTTGAGGCAATGGATAAATTAAGGAGCCAGAAGTTTCTTTCCAGGTGGTGGCACAAGGAATTCTGGAGACCCTGAGCAGCACAGGTCACCTTCAGTGCCCCCAGGAAATGCCTCTCATGACATCACTTGGCTGGGAGCAAAGCCACCCAGAGCAGCAACTGGGAACACGTGGCTCAAATCCCTGACTTTGTGTTCAGCCATGGAAGTTTGCTCTGAAAAGTGGCTGAAATTCCCCCCGGGGGCCCTGGCACCAGCCCCTCAGTGCCACAGGTTGATGCCAGCAGGAGCTGAGCCTGAAGCAGAATTCCCAGGGACCTCATTTTTTTTCCCTTTTCAGCCCCCAGAGCCCCCATATTTGGGGTTGCTTGTTTTTGCTACTTGTTGAACAAGTTTGAAATTGAACTTTTGGGGTTTTCTGGCAGAGAGGAAGGAGCTGATGTCTGGACAGGCTTTGGCCCAGGGAGCTGGGCTTGGACTTTCTGGCCTTGAGGAGCTTTGTCCCACGGCAGCTCCAGCTTCCCCAGAGAACAGGACCAAGGCTCCCAGCCCAGGAGAAGAGCTGGAGGCCAAGGCTCAGCCTGGCACCCACCTCTGTGACTTGTAGGCATCTGTGTTCAAGGCTCCCATCCTCCACTCCAAGCCTGTGCCAGCAGCTCTGGGTGGTTGGAGTCCCAGACAAGCCTCCTGGATGCAGTTGTGCTCCCATTCCTGGTAACTGGGAGCTCATCTGGTGGACACCCCAGGATCCCACGGAGCTCACACCACCAGGGAGCTCAGCACCCTGCCCTGAGCAACCCTGGGCAGCTGGGAATGAGCCAGGGGAGATACCCAAAGCCATTTCAGGAGGTTCAGCAATACAGAACCAGACAAGGATTGTCTCAGAAAAAGCCTGGATACTTGAGGGAAGACGATGCTTGGAATGAACAGGTTGCAACAGGTCTGGGTTTCCCCACAGCTCTTGGGACCAGCTAGCAAAGTTCATTCTCCAAGACCTTCCCTGAAGGTGGGGCTCAGGTGCTCCCTGCACAGGGGCTGGTCACAGAATCACAGAATCATTCAGGTTGGAAAAGTCCTTTAAGATCATCAAGTCCAACCACAACCTGTTTCTACCAACCATTAACCTAAATCTACCAGTTCCAATGCTTGAACCATGTTCCCAAGTGCCACATCAGTGTCTCTTAAACACCTCCAGGGCTGGAGACTCAACCCCTGGGCAGCCTCTGTCAGTGTTTAATTATCCTTTCAGTGAAGAAACTTCTTCTGCTATCTAATCTAAACCTCCCCTGGCCCAACTTGAGCCCATTTCCTCTTGTCCTAAGCAGCTTTAGAGACCCCCAAAATGAGGGGAAGGAATAAGGTCTCCATCAATGATGCTTAAACCATCTTAAACAAGCTGCTTGATTTCATGTCAGCTGCAAAGTCTCAACAAGGCTCAACCCACCAGCCCATGAACAAGGTGCTCCCAGAGTTCTGCTTCAGTAGGGCTCCATCCACCTCCCAAATCCACCCCAAGCCCCAGGGTGGGGGCAGATGGTGTCTGTGAGGATGCTGGTGAGTGCCCAGGTGCCACCATCTGCATGGTGGAGCTGTGGTCAGGGCTGTCTCCTGGCATGGAGCTGGGCTGGCTGCTGGTGCTTGGCCAGGCAGCAGCAAACAGGCATCACTGGGGTGTTTCCAGCAGCATTTGGCTGTTGTTGGTGTTTGTAGGAGCCTCCTGCCAAGTTTGGGATGTGCTGGCACTGGCACGAGGGGCTGGCACTGCCACCATCCTGCTGTCCTCCCCCTGTGGGTGTTTTAGGGATGAGCTTTTCCAAAATGCAGGGGGGTTCCAGCATCACCAGCAGTGGGTCCAACCCCCCCTGCCAGAGCAGGGGTACCCAGAGCACATCACACAGGAACGTGTCCAGGGGGGTTGGAATGTCTCCAGAGAAGGAGACTCCCCAGCCTCTCTGGGCAGCCTGGCCCAGGGCTCTGTCACCCTCACAGCAAAGATGTTCTTCCTGAGATTCACATGGAACCTCCTGTGTTCCAGTTTGCACCCATTACCCCTTGTCCTGTCACTGGACAGGTGGATACCTGGGTTTGCTGGGAAGGGGCCCACCCACACCCTGTTCACCCCCCATGAGGTTTAGCTAAGGGTGTCAGGGCTGTTCCTGGGCACCCATGGATGGGGACTGGGGGACAGACCCTGCAGAGCAGGAGGGAACCTGAGGCTGCAGCTCCTGCTCCCCAGCTGGTGAGTCCAACGACTCCAGCAGGTTGGTTCCTTGGCTTGGAGGATCAGGTGGCCCCAGAGGTCACCAGAAGTGGGGGGTGGTGACCCCAGCTCATCCATACTGAACACAGCACAGCCCCCTGGGCAGGGAGGGGACGGGTCTCCCCTTTGGAGGCTCCAAGTGGGACACCAGTGGGATACCAGTGGGACACCAGTGGCCTGGCAGCAGCACCTGGGGCTTCTTAGGTGACCATGCTCTGGCAGGGGGGTTGGACTAGATGATCTTTCCAGGTCCCTTCCAACCCCTAGGATTCTGTGATTCTTCCTTCACTGAATGAAATCGCTGTCACACTAAACTGGGAGGGTTTTGGTTCCTGTGGGTTTGCAGGTTGTGGGGGGTCCATCCTTCCCATCCAGCAGGAGGAGCCTTCTGAACCAGGGGGGCAACCAAAAGCTGTTCCCCCTCAGCCCAGAGCCCACTGGGGTTCTGAGCCCACCAGCCAAGCCAGAACAGCTCCTGGCAGGGCTGTGAGACCCCTCCTTGGAGAACCAACCCCAGGAGATGTCAAACCACTTCAGGTCACACCAGGAAGGCTCGTTTGGGGTATTTTTACCCCAGAGCAGGGCTGAGACCTGCCCCGCTCACTCCACCTCTGCCAGGGTGGCTGGAGGGGCTGGCTCTGCTCTCAGCACCCCCCAAAATTCCCTCCCTGAGCCCAGGAACACCACGGGGGGTGCCCCTGCTGAGCAGCTCTGCCACTTAATTAGGTTAATGACGGTGCTTCATTAGGGAAAGGCAGCTGAGGAGTTTGCACTGGGGCTGGGAGGTGCCTTTCCAGGGGTGGGGGCAGCTCAGATGTGGGGCACAGCAGGGGACAGGAAGTGAGGAAAGGGAGGCAGAGGAAAGGGAAGCGAGGAAAGGGAAGTAGAGGAAAGGGAAGCAAGGAAAGGGAAGCAGAGGAAAGGGAAGCAAGGAAAGGGGAGCAGGGAAAGGGAAGCAGAGGAAAGGGAAGCAAGGAAAGGGGAGCAGGGAAAGGGAAGCAGAGGAAAGGGAAGCAAGGAAAGGGAAGCAGAGGAAAGGGGAGCAAGGAAAGGGAAGTAGAGGAAAGGGGAGTGAGGAAAGGGAAGCAAGGAAAGGGGAGCAGGGAAAGGGAAGTAGAGGAAAGGGAAGTAGAGGAAAGGGAAGCAAGGAAAGGGGAGCAAGGAAAGGGAAGTAGAGGAAAGGGGAGTGAGGAAAGGGAAGCAAGGAAAGGGGAGCAGGGGAAGGGGAGTAGAGGAAAGGGAAGTAGAGGAAAGGGAAGCAAGGAAAGGGAAGCAGAGGAAAGGGAAGCAGAGGAAAGGGAAGCAAGGAAAGGGGAGCAGGGAAAGGGAAGCAGAGGAAAGGGAAGCAAGGAAAGGGAAGCAGAGGAAAGGGGAGCAAGGAAAGGGAAGTAGAGGAAAGGGGAGTGAGGAAAGGGAAGCAAGGAAAGGGGAGCAGGGAAAGGGAAGTAGAGGAAAGGGAAGTAGAGGAAAGGGAAGCAAGGAAAGGGGAGCAGGGGAAGGGGAGTAGAGGAAAGGGAAGCAAGGAAAGGGGATTAAGGAAAGGGAAGTAGAGGAAAGGGCAGTAGAGGAAAGGGAAGCAGAGGAAAGGGAAGCAGCAGCCGCCGGGCTCCCCTCTGATCCCTCTGCTGCCGCCGCCACTTCCATCCCTGCTCCCAGGAGGCAACACCGGGGACTGGGATGGGATGGGATGGGAGCGCTGGTCCCGATGTGTCCCCCGGAGCATCCCCCGTCCTGCAGGACCCCGCGGGGCCCGGGGGGGATTGTGGCCCCCAGGGACACCTCCCGGCAGCCTGCGAGGGCTCTGGCTGCATCTCTGCTCCTGGGGTGGGGGGCACAACTCTGTCCCCCCATTATCCCGGGGTGCTCATGGTCCCCAACACCCGTGGGTGCCCCGTGGGTGGCACAGAGCAGGTGGGAGCTGGCGGGGGGATGGGTCTGCAGCTCCTCTCGCAGATCTCTTCCCCCTGCCTCAGTTTCCCTGCTCTCCTGGCAGCACCTGCAGGTGGTTCCACCGGGTTTGCACTGGGCACGGTCACCGGGTGACACATTTGGGGCTGAGAAAGGGTTTGGGAGAGTTTTGGGGGGGTTGGGACCTTGTCGGGGCCACGGACCCCAACTCAAGGAGTATTTTCCAACCCTCAGAGCCGGGGGTTGGGCAGGACTTTGTTGTCCTCCCCCTCCTCCCACCCTGCTGCTGACTCCGCGTCTCTCCCCCCCCAGGCGCTCAGGAGGAGGGTGCTGAGCCCCTAGACCATGCTCTGCACCATGAGATGTTGGCTCCCGGTCCTGGTCCTCCAGCTGGTCCTCCCGAGCCCTCGGCGGGCCTGGGCCTGCCCTGCCCGCTGCGACTGCGCCCCGCAGCTGCGCTCGGTGCTGTGTCACCGCAGGAGACTCACCTCCATCCCCGAGGGCATCCCCACCGAGACCAGGGTCCTGGAGCTCAACAAGAACCGCATCCGCTGCCTGAACCCCGGGGACCTCTCCCCGTACCCACTGCTGGAGGAGCTGGACTTCAGCGAGAACATCATCTCCAACGTGGAGCCCGGCGCCTTCAGCAACCTGTTCCACCTGCAGATCTTGAGGCTGCGGGGGAACCAGCTCAAGCTCATCCCTCCCGGGGTCTTCACCAAGCTGACCAACCTCACCCTCTTGGACATCAGCGAGAACAAGCTGGTCATCCTGCTGGACTATGCGTTTCAGGACCTGCGAAACCTGAAGAGCCTGGAGGTGGGTGATAACGACCTGGTGTACATCTCCCAGCGGGCCTTCTCGGGGCTGCTGGGCCTGGAGCAGCTGACCATTGAGAAGTGCAACCTGACCTCCATCTCGGCCGAGTCGCTCTCCTACCTCCAGAACCTGGAGGTGCTGAGGCTCCGGCACCTCAGCATCTCCGCCCTGGAGGATCAAAACTTCAAGAAGCTCTACAACCTCCTGCAGCTGGAGATCGACAACTGGCCGCTGCTGGAAGACGTCTCCCCGACCAGCTTCCAGGGCTTGAACCTCACCTGGCTCTCCATCACCTACACCAACATCACAGCCGTGCCTGCTGCTGCCTTGAGGAACCTGGTGTACCTCCGGTACCTGAACCTGTCCTACAACCCCATCAGCACCGTGCTGAAGGGCTCCTTTAAAGACCTCATCCGGCTCCAGGAGCTCCACATCGTGGGCGCTCTCTTGGTGTCGGTGGAGCCTCAGGCTTTCTCCGGGCTGAGACAAATCCGGCTGCTCAACCTCTCCAGCAACTTTCTGTCCACGCTGGAGGAGAGCACCTTCCACTCCGTCAACACCCTGGAGACGCTGCGAGTGGACAGGAACCCCCTGGCCTGCGACTGCCGCCTCCTCTGGATCCTGCAGCGCCGCAAGACGCTCAACTTCGACGGGCAGCAGCCCGTGTGCTCCTCGCCCCCCGAAATCCAGGGCGACGCCCTGAGGGACTTCCCGGACTCGGTTCTCTTCGAGTACTTCACCTGCCAGAAGCCCAAGATCAAGGATCGGAAGCTGCAGCACGTGACGGCGCGGGAGGGACAGGCCGTGTCCTTCCTGTGCCGGGCGGACGGGGAGCCCGACCCTTCCATCTCCTGGGTGTCCCCCCAGCACCGCCGGATCCCCGCCCGCAGCACCGGGCGGGT